AAGCAGACGCTGTGGATACAATTAGCAGAGGCTGTGTTCCTTCCTTGCTCCGTGTGGCTCTCCCACATCCCTGAGCAGAGACAGGACCTTGGCTGTCCCCCTGCCCCTTGGGACCGTCTCTAGCCTGCACTTGGCCCTGGGGACCCTGGCAGCCCACAGCAGCTGCAGAGGAGCGGGCAGGAGCCGCAGCTGGCCAGGAGGCCACTCCTGCTCCCACCCCGAGTCCGGCGTCTGATAATGAATGCATGCCCATGTCCCCTGTCCCCACACGTCCCCTCCCCACACCAGCTGCCCACGCTTCACCGAGAGATGACCAGCTTTCAGTGTGAGGAGCACCCAGCCCCGCCAACAGGGTCTCTGTGGCCAATTCCACTTAATCCTGTTGATTAATCTAACTCGGAGGCTAAGGGGTACCTTGGGCCAGGAGCAGGGAGGCGCCCGAGCCGGGGCACAGGGGACTGAATCAGCGGCTCCTCGTGTCCCTTCTCATGCTGCTTTGGCTCTGTTCTGCTCTCCCCCCTTTCCTGTCATTATCATCATCAGTAAAAATAATTGTCCTTCCTATGGATTTTATGTCCCAAATTACTCCTAAAGCCTTTATTTTGTTCCACTTTCTTTTTTGAGACGGGGTCTCACTATGTAGTTCAGGCTGGCTTTGAACTCATTCTGTAGCCCTGGCTGTCCTTGAACGTGTGATGATCCTCCTGCCTCAGCCTCCTGAGTGCTGGGATTACAGGCGTGTGCCACTACCTTTCCACTCTTAAAGCTATCAGATGTGACTTGCAGAGGGGTATTTTAGCCTCATTTTTACTGCTGGAAAACCAAGATCCAAAGAGGGGAAGCGATTTGTCCAAGGCCACAGAGCAAGGGGAAAGTCAGAGCCCAGCATCTGGGCTCAGGTCTGCCAGGGCAAGAGAGCTGACTGGACCACGGCTGTCCCATGGGGCCCTCCAGTCCTCTCCCGGTCAGTGCTTTCCTCCCTGTCCCTCTGCAGGAACCAAGCATGGGCACATTGTGTGCCCTCTTCAAGGAGACTGAACCTCTCTGAGCTTTTTTCCTTGTTCATAAAAGAACCCACAGTCCCACCTTCGTGGATGTATCACATGAGGCCATTGCAGAGACGCGTCCCTGGAATGGGGCTCTCTTCCTTTGAGCTGGGCCCGGGCAGTCAGTGGAAGCTCTTTGTTGGGGGGCTGAAGTCACCAGCAGGCTGTGGTTCTGTTCTCATGAGATGTCTGTGGCTCTCTGGGGACAGCAGGACAGGCTTGCTCTTCCTTCTCAGCATCCCAAGGGTTGTTATGGCAACGCTCCACTGGAGAGGACCATTCTGTGGGCCCCGCTTTGCTGCCTCACTCTAGGCTTCCGTCTGGCTGCAGGATTCGCTGGTCCGCACCAAGTGAAGGGTGGGAGGGTCAGGGAGATGTGATCCAGAGGCCCACGGTGGGTTCAGAAAGATGCAAGTACTGTGGAGAATAGGGTGTGGCTGGGGCATGGGAGGGGGCCAGGGCCAGGGGCTGAAAGAAGCACTTTGAGCTTTGCCCCTTATCCAGCATAGAGAATGCTGAACACTGGCTAACTGTGTTCATTTTGGCCCCCACCCTATAGCCTGATATTTCTGTAATATCTCTTTAATACTTTGCCCTATAAAAAACACTTGAAAAACCCTGATTCGTGGAGGTGAGTGTGTTTGTCAGTGGCAGATGAGTATCATTTCCTGTAAATAGATGGGAGCCATAAAGAGAGTTGCCATCCAAACAGTTCTGCAAAATTCTACCTAGAGACTGGCTTGCAGGGAGCTCTGGCCCTGTGACCTTCCCTCTCTGATAAGAAGGGAGAACATGGGGCTGGGGATTTAGCTCAAAGGCACAGCGCCTGCCTGGCAAGCGCAAGGTTGTGAGTTCGATTCCCGGTACCAGAAAAAAATTAAAAAAAAATAAAAAAAGAAGGGAGAACATGCAGGGTGTTATGGTGCCTGGAATTCCAGCTACCCAGTCAGGAGGCTGAAGCAGGAGGATTGTAAGTTCCAGGCAACTTAGCAAGACCCTGTCTCAAAAAAGCAACAACAAAAGAGGAAGGAGAGTGTGTTAAAGACAGTCTAGAATGTGCTGTCCAGTAGCCATCAGCCATGTGTGGCTCTACAAATTTGATTTAAAATTAAGTAATGTGGGGGGCTGGGGATTTAGCTCAGCAGCACAGCGCTTGCCTGGCAAGCGTAAGGTCGTGAGTTCGATTTCCTGTACTGGAAAAAAAAATTAAAATTAAAAAAATATAAAATTAAGTAAAGTGAAAAACTCAGCTCTTGGGTCACACTAGGCAGGTGTCCAGAGCTCCATACTGCATGTGACTATTATGATCCTCTGAGGCGACGTGGATCTAGGACATTCCCATCAGCATGGAAGGTTCTGCTTTGGGGCTGAACTGGGACTCCATCAGATGGGGATTTCCTCTAGATCAGGGTTGTGTCTTCTCCATCGGCCTGGCGTTCTCCTCCCCTCTCTCACTCTTGGCTCTGAGTCCAATCTCTGCCCACGGATTTTAATCCCAGTAACACTGCCTGAGCTCGAGGGTCTCCTTGGAGGGACCAGCCTGGTGCCTATTCCTGACCTCCTGCCAACGCCTGCTTCTTCCTTCCGGGGCCTCAAGGGCTGGCTGACCTTGTCTCCATCAGAAAATTAAGGTTATGCTGTGAGTTTCAGGAAACGAATCCTCGGGATTAGCTGTATTTGGCCGTGAGCCCCAGACGTGCTGGCGAGGGGGCTCAGCCAGCTGTGCCCGCCCTGGTCTGCTCTCAGTGACGGAAGGAGGCCAGGCAGCTGGCAGCCCTGGCTGGGAAAGGGCAGAGGAAGGGTTGGATCTGATCCCAGGTCTCCGCCTGGGGGATGAGCTAGGCAGTGGGGAAGGGAGGACTTCCTTGCCATTGGTTCCCTGCTCGGGTGGCATGGTGTCTCTGTGGGGGACAGCCTGGGAGCGGTCACCAAGATGCAGGGATGGCTTCCCAGGGGACAAGATGAAAGGATGAAGGAAGGGAAGCTGGGGCAGCGGGACATTGCCCGAGACTGGATGACCTTCCCAGTGTATGATCCCTACACTCTGGTGCACCCTGGCCATGGGCACGGCGCCATGATGAAATTATCCCACGTGCCCTTGGATGCACGGTGCCTTTTCATATGCTCTTCCTTCTGCCTGGCGTGCCTTTCCTTCCACCTCCACTTAACATCCAAGATGCCTCATTAGTTCTTGTTTCCACTGTGTTTTGAGAGTGGGGGGACCCTTGTGGGAGGGGCGTTCCTTGGGGGAGGGTTCTAGGCCTTTCTGTAACCAACACTTGGAGCAGTGAGAGCGTGACTGTGTCCTGAGCAGTGAGGAGCAAGCAGAGTCTGAGTGCCCATGTGGGTGTTTTCTCAGAAGTTCTGGGTGTTTCACGTTGCCATTCTGTGACTCAGTTTCCCCCATCTGTAGTGTGAGCTCATGGTCTCTGAGCCTTTCCCAGCCTGACCCAGACTGAGTGCTCTGAACATAGGGACCACATCTGACCATGAACCCTATATACTGGGCCCATCCAAGCAAAGAGTAGGTGCTCAGCAAATGTTCTGATAGGTGAATGAATGATTGAATGAATGAATGGCAGAAAAAAAGTGCTTTGAGGAATTTCAGAGGTGAAGGGAAAGAGGTGGAAGGAGAAATGAAGACAGAGAGAAGAGGGTGAAAGCAGGCAGGATGGAGAGGAAGGAAGGCAGTCCCTGGCTGTGAGCTCGGTCCTTTCTCTCCTCTCCCTCCTGCTGCTTCTCACCAGCCTCTCCTCCACACTCCACCCAGATCCCAGGGGCTGCTGAGGGTGCACTTTAGCCCTGCTGGATCAGGGTTGGGGGCTGGGGTGGGGAACCAGCTTGGCGCCCAAGCTCTTGGTCCAGATAGCTGAGACACTTGATCAGACCTTTCCTGCAGCCTTCCAAGGCTGGATCTAGTACAGGAGCAGATTCCTGGCCTGACAGCCCCCTCCAGAGGTGGGAATCAAGCTGGCTTCAGCCACTTGAGCTCTCTTTGCATAGGAAGTAAGAGGCCTTCGCCCACCCCGGACTCCGGGGTGGAAATTAGTCGAAGTGATAATGAGGACCATGATCACCTAGCCAAGGTCGCCCACGTGAGGTTACCTCCTGCAGCCTGGAAAGCCACTCAGAGGTCTTGGACATCCCAGGAGGGCCTGTCACAGTCCAAGCCCTTCCTGCTACAAATAGGGAAACTGAGGCCCGAGGAGGGGAGGTCACCTTCCTTGGGTCACAAGCATCTAGAGCAGAATCAGACCTGGGTCTGAGCCTCCTGACACCAGCTCTGGTGCCCGTGTTGTCCCCTTCCCTCCCTTCTTCCCTCCTGCCTTCCTTCTGCTCTTAGCTCTCATACCATTTCTGCCAAGCAAGCAGCATTCTTGTCTAAATGATCACTATTTAAACACTCAAATACAAACAAATGTAAAGCAGAAACAAAAGTCCCCCAGCTTGGAGATGAGGATGCTATAATTTGGACTGTAGCATTCAGCAATGCATTGTGGGCTTTTCCTTTGCACACGGGTTTCCACCTTGCCTTTTATAAAAGTCAGGTTTATTGAGGCATGTTAACATATGGGGAAACTGTCCCTGATTTGGAGAATATAATTGTGCGAATTTTGACATATATTTTAGCGTGAAACCACCCTGAGTATTACATCCTTTCATGTCAACAGAAATAACCTAATTGTCCAACTATAGGGGATTGGCTTTCTAAAAAATGGAATGGTCCTGCTAGAAACTATCTATCCAGTCCTTTCGGGCTGGGCATGGAGGTTGCTGCCCTCCTTCTCTCTGATAAACAATGCTGGTGTGAACATCCTTCTTCCTCGTGCTTGTGAGGGACCTGTTCCTAGTGCAGTGTGCCCAGACGGACACGGTGTGCCTTGTGCCCGCCTCCCAGTCCCCACACCCTCCATGTCACTAAGCTCTGGCCCTGTGCTCCCTCTCTGGCTACAGGGAACCGGCTGGACGAGGGCTCAGATGTGGAGTCAGAACCCGACCTCCCACTGAAGCGGAAGCAGCGCCGCAGTCGGACCACGTTCACAGCCGAGCAGCTGGAGGAGCTGGAGAAGGCGTTCGAGAGGACCCACTACCCGGACATCTACACCCGCGAGGAGCTGGCGCAGAGGACCAAGCTGACTGAGGCGCGCGTCCAGGTGAGGAGGCTCAGTGTTCCAGAGACCATCAATGATCAAGAAGATCGTGAGCTCCCTGGGTGCCCTGGGGGCTGGTAACCGGGGACCCAGTGCCCCGTTCCCCCGTGAACAAGCACTGCCGCCAGCCCCTGACGCAGAGTCAACAGACAACAAATGGTGGTTGTGACTGACTAACTGAGAGGCGGACAGTGCAAGGTGGAGGAGGGGTAGGGAGGGAACAGAGCAAAGGGAAAGGGGAGAGAGAGAGGCAGGGAAGGAAGGAGGAAGCAAGGGTGCTACTCCACCAGAGGGAGGGCTCAGGAAGCTGGAACAGCTCCAGCTCTCCCACGAGGGGAGGGGGGATTCGGAGGGAAACTGCTAAACCAGCCCAGCTTCCTCTGATGGCAGTGAGTCTCCCAATTACGGGAAGCATGCAAGAGGCTGGATGGATTGGAAGCATTAGGGCAGGGGGCAGACTCGTGACCTCAAGTGTCCCCTCTGCATCCTCATTGTAAGGTTCCCACGCAGTGGGGTCAGGGGCGAAGGGCAGGAGCCTGCCGGGGTCCTGGAGCTGTCACAGGGAAGTGGGGACAACTGTGAAGACCACCGCTGAGCTCACAGAGTGGGGAGTGGCACCTCACAGGGCACCGGCTGGTAAGGGCTAAAGGGAGGATGGGAAGGAGGAGAGAGGAAAGGTGGTGGCGACCTGCTTGCTGGGATTCTGGTCCCGAGCTGTGCTCTCCACGCAGGGGGAGGCAGGGCTGCAGAGGCGTCCCCAGGCTGCTTCCTAGGGGTGCTTCTGTCCACAGGGTGCCCACCCAGTGCCAGCTCCTGTGCTGAGGACTCCTCACACATGACCCGGTAGAACCTCAGGCCACTTGGGCCGGTCCCACACACACGCACACACATGTACACACGCACACGCACGAACGCACACACGTCTCAAGAGAAACGATGTTCCTTGGGCGCAGAGCTGGGCCTGGCCGATGTCAAAGCCCATGTTCTTTCCAGGCAGAGAAGGAAGTGGCTGACTCAGAATCTGGAGTCAGGAAGCAACAGGGAAAGTCCTAGAAGTAAACTGGCATTGAGCCCTCCGGAACTGGGTCCCCTGTCTGCCTCCCACCCCCACTGCCAGGGTGGGAGGCCCTGGGCTGCCTTTGAGGGAGACCTCCAGGAACTGAGGGCAGGAGAGGCGGCTGCTGGTCTCTTTTCCTCCCCTGCTCTCAGGGTGACATCTGAGCCTGCCGGCTCACTCCCCCCCTCCACCCTGCACCCATCCCAGCAGCTGTTGTCCTGGGCACATTCCCGGGCGCTTTCTCATCCCTGCTTCCCACCACCTTGAAGCCTGATGGCTCCTTGTAAAATTTCCTGGCTGTCAGGGCTGTGCTTTTATTGGCCCGGGGGACACAAAAACAGGTGTCACTCAAGGTCCAGGGCAAGAGGCGGTCTGGGACTGGAGGAGCTGCTGAGCCGAGGCAAACCTGAGGGAGAGGCCAAGGCGACCACGCTGCGTGACCGTGACTCCCCCGTGTCACACTGGCAGGGCAGGACCTGGCCTTGGGGCTGGAAGCGCCCCCAGGCAAGGATGGTCTCCCCTCCTTGGCCCCAGAGCTTTCTCAGCAGCGGAGAGCAGCAGACCTGTTGGATTTTAAGTGATGAACAAAGAGCGTTTAGCCTGGAGCGAGAGCATAGGCCTGTTCTGAGAGTCCCTCCCCGCTTGTCTGCGGCCATAGCACCCTGGACGTGCCTGATCTCCTCTGAGAGGCCCCCACGGGTGTGACCAAGACAGCACAGGGCCTCAAGGCCAGCAGCGAGGTCTGCAGCAGAGAGCTCAGGACTAAGAGCACGGTTCCTCCTCTGACCTGCCGAGTCACCTTCAGCGTGTCCTTCCCTGATGTTAGTTTCCATCTGTAGCTAAGGGGTGGGACTCAGCGATCACTAAGATGTCTTCAAGCTCTGGGATCCTTACCTGTTGACCATCAAGGATGCCTGGCGAGGTGATGAGATCCCTGTCACTAGAAGTGTTCAAGCAAAAGTTCAGTATCCAGTCAAGCAGGGACTCTAGTGAGGGAATTCCTGCTGCAGCGTGGGGCAGGGACCTCGAACGCCCCTGAGCGCTGCTGAGATTCCGTAGCTGTGTACTTGTGAGCTCTGGTCTCCGATTGTAAGAATCTGCGGTGCTAGGATTTTCCAGTGCTACATCTCATCACAGTGCCCCTGGAAAGTGGATGGATGAGTGGAGTAATTCAGGGTGGGCTCAGAGCCAGACGCCTGGGGTGGATCCCAGCTCAGTAGCTCAGCTCCTCCTCCACCCTTGGTCTGCACAATGGAGATGAGCTGGGTACAGTAGTGCACACCTGTAATCCCAGCATTCTGGGAGGCTGAGGCAGGAGGGTACAAATTCAAGCCCAGCCTGGGCAGTTTAGTGGATGTAGTGAGATGGGATCTTGGAATAAAAAATAAAAAGAGGCTGGGGATATATATATAGCTCAGTGGGTTTGATCCCTAGTACCACAAAAGCCAGAGGAAGGCAGGGGGGAGGTCTGTCTTGTTCTAGGATTAAGTGATAAAATAAAAAAACCTTATGAAATGCCTGGCACACAGAAGAGCCACAGTGCAATGGAGGGAGGGGGGCTGTTAAGAAGATGCCACTTGTTCTTGGAAGTTCCAGCCCTGGCCACCCTTGCAGTTCAATGCCCATTCCTCCGGCCGTCATCTATTGAGCACTTGCTGTTTGCCAGCGGCTGTCCTAGGCACTGGGGACTCAGCGGGCAGCAAAGCCTGTGGCCATGGAACTGGCACTCTGATAAACATGTTAGCAGGTGAACCTTATATTCAGCAAGGGAATCTGTTAGGAAAGCCAGCCAAGAGCTGCCCCCGGCTCCCTCCGGTCCTGCTCTCTCTGGGGGCAGCCTCCTCTGGAAGCCTGTGTGACATTACCACAAAGCCCTGTGCAGCTAGCAAGAAGCTGGGACCCCAGCAAGGACAGCAAAGAGGTGTCAGGCAGTGGAGGCTGTGCTGGGGACCCAGGACTCCTCGGGAGGAATTTCCATTTTACACGGTTGGTGCCCTGACCCCAACCTTCAGCTGTCTTCCTTGGAGGTAGATTGGCTGTGTCCTGAGCCCATGCACACCTTCTAAAACCAGCGGCTGAGGAGATGGAGCTGCTGGGCTCTGGGGTCACCCCTTGGCACTTCCCTTGCCTGCCTATGAAAATGCCCCTATGCCTCGATGATGAGCACCAAGAAATCAGGAAGTTGTGTAATAGCACTAAGCACTGTGGCCCCACATTGGAACTCTGCTGTTGGCTTTGGTTGTTGCTGAACAGAAATCCACCGTGGAGACACTAAAGGGGCCCACGCATTAACACCACACACTGAATGTTGGCATAGCACCGAGGGACGCGTGTGACATGCCAGGCAGGGTGCTCAGCACCTTACAGGGCCCCCCTTGGTTCTCCCCTAATCCTGGGAGGGAGATGTCATTTTTCTTCTCCGTACTACAGGTGGAAGCCCAGGAAGTGGCTTCCTAGAGACACGGTAGTGACCGTGCTGGGCTTGAGCCTAAGTCTACCTGCACATAGCTTTTGCCCCTGTGCCACAGACAGAGGACCAGGCCAGTCCGCTCTGCCAGCAGATGGCACCTGCTGTGCCCTGCTCCCGATGCTGGGTGGTGGGGAAAGGAGCAAAAATGCATATTTGGGGTTGGGGGTGTAGCTCAGCGGCACGAACACTCACACAGTCACGAACCTGGCCCTGCCTTCATAGAGCTTAACCCCCTATCAGGGCATCGGGCCAGGGTGCTGGGGTGGCTGCTGCCCCTCTTGAAACCCCTGCTTCCTCTCCATCAGCAGGAAGCTTGAGCCGGAGCTGGCTAAGGGCACTTCCAGCTCAGCTACGCCTGAGGGGGTCCTATAGAAGAGTAAATGCACGCTAACAGTGTTCTCAGCACGCTAAGGCTGTGTAGCTCACTTGAGGTCCAGAGCAACCTCAGCGCGGTGCTGTTCACCCCGTTCTGCAAAACGGAGGCATAGAGACATCATGGGGTTCCCTCTCTTAGCTGTGAGTAGAGGCAGAACTCAGAGCCAGGCAGGGGACTCCGGAGTTCCTGCTCTGAGCCATCAGGCTTCACGCTGTGAGAAGGGAGGAGGCCTGGGGAAACACATCCGGGGTGGGGAAGAGGACAGGTGAGAACTGCCCCAGGAAGCCCTCCTGGGCTCCGCAAAGCCAGGTGCGAAGCTCCTCCTCTGGCCTCTTTGTGGAGCCTTGCGTGTTACCTGTCTGAGCGCACTGTCTGTTCCATGCCAGGCAGAAGGCAGCCCCAGGACTGGGGGCGGAGTCCTGTGCACCTCCATCCCCACGTCTTGCCTGGCCTCAGGAGAGGGCCGGTAAAGACTTGAAGTGAAGAGAGGGAAATAAAGAGGTGTGAGGTGGGATAGGGAAAGACAATATAGAGAAGGAACAGAGCAGGGTGCGTACAGCTTTATTTAAGAAACAGATGAGCCACATCTAAGAGACAGCTGCTCCCCAGCCAGCTGTCGCAGCACACCCAAACTTAAGCCATTCTCTTGCCAACTTCAAGACTTCTGTCACCTTCCTGTTTTACCTGTAGTTACTTGCTTTCCCCCCACCAAAACTGGGGCCTGAATCCAAGGGCACTCTACCACTGAGCTACGTCCCCAGCCATTTTTGTGTTTTTATTTTGAGACAGGGTTTTAATAAGTTACCCAGGCTGTCCTCCCACTTGCAATCCCCTTGCCTCAGCCTCCTGAGGAGCTGGGATTACAGACATATGCACCACCACCCCTGGCTACACTTACTTACCTTTTAATAAAGTCAATGTATTTTAAGATGAAAGCATATATCACTTCTATAAAGATAAGGCAGTTGGAAAAAGAATAAACAGAGGGGAAAACAAAGCATGATTAAAGTCTTGCAGGGCAATGTTGCCTGCATAGGTTTCACCCTGCATCTTCCCAGGAGCCGGTGTGTACAAAGGGTGGCCTCCGTTCCCCGCAGGATGCCCCTGTGGACACCATCGGTGCCCTGGGGAGGTGGGGAAAAGCTGGGACTTTGGTTTTATTTGTGAGCCAGTGGCTTTTCCCCTCATTAGGGTCCTCCTGTCTTTTCCCTGTGAAACCTAAATCGGTCAGCGCAGTGACTGTGTTCCCCCAGCCCAGGAAGCAGGCATGGCTCCTCCCCCAGAAGGACCTAGAAAGACCCACAATGTCCTGGGTGCAAGAGTGCCATCTACCCAGCTGACCTGCTCTCCCCAGGTTTGGGTGTCGTGGGTGATTGGGCGCCAGAGGAGGTTGGGATTGTCACCCCACCAGGAGGAAACCCCCCCTGAGTGCCTCAGTCCCAGCAAAGACACACTAAGGCTTCCCTTGTTCAGTCACTTATGCATCAAATCAATAAGTATTCGGCGTGCACCTTTGGGGTGTCCAACAGTGAATGTGGAATGCAGGGGCCTAGGGCAGGGAGTCCCTTGATGAGGGGGCAGGAGACCCAAGGATGAGGGGGTTGGAGCAGGAAGGGTGTTCAGGTGGACGAAACAGCCTGTGCAGAGACCAGAGGGAGAAAAGAGCCCCTTGGAGGAGCTCACTACACACCCTCATTGTCCTTTATTTCTGGCCTGTCCCAGGGACTTTGCACACCCTGTTCAGTAGGCTCTAAGTTAAGTCAGATTTAAACTTGAACCTTATTTCCACGACAGGCTAGCTACATGGCCTTGGGCACAAGCTCTTTGACCTCCAAACCTCCGTTTCTCCTCCTGTAAAGTGGGAACAGGAGAGCGTGTCTTATGAGCCTATGTAGACAGATGTGTAAATGCCAGCCCAGTGCTTGGAGAGGGAGGCTCAAAGATGGGGGGTTAGTGTTCCACTAACGTGTAATAAGTCCCGGGGTGTGTTTCCCATTGTAAGGAGCCAGGCTGTGTAAGCAAAGCAAAGTCTCAGTCCCCAGATAAAGAATGAGCTTGCACAGCTGTCTGGAGGGATTCCTACCCGGGTGGATTCCAGATGTGCAGTGTCCTCCTGGAGGGCTTCCTAGAGGAGGTGGAGAATGAGGCGTTTTGGAGCTAACCAGTCATGCAGGGGCCGGAGCAGGTGCAGTGGGAAGAGCAGTGGACTGAGAGTCACCCACACTTGTCTGAGCCTCCACTCATTATGCCTTGTGGCCAAGTCACCTACTTTTTCTAGGCCTTACTTTCCTCATCTGTGAGATGGAAATAATGATAAGAACCCCCCACCTCCACCCTGGGTGTCTGTGCAAACAAGGGGATCATGTCTGTGAAATCACTCTGCAGCCCATCTGGATTGGTCGCTTTTCTGTTGCTGGGAAAGGTTACGCAACACCCACCATTTAAAGAGGCAAGGTTTAACTTGGCTAATGGTTCTAGTGGGCTCACTCCATGGCTGGCTGCCTCCAAGGCAGAAAAACAGCATGGCAGAAGCATGGTGGAGGGTAGATGCTCAACCCACGCAGCCACGAGGCAGAGAGAGAAAGAAGGGAGGAGCTGGGGACAGGGATGTACCTTTCCAGGTCATACGCCCAGAGATCCAACTTTAGTCCCCACATCCTAACAGCATGTTCAGCTGTGAATTCATCCATGGAGGAGTTCACTGATTAATGTATCACCTCCATGATCCAAACACCTTCTGTACCTGAAGCTTTTGGGAACATTTTAGATGTAAATCCTAATACCATCCATGCTGCAGGAATGTGGATTTCCTTCCTGGAGGAGGATGCTGGCTGCATCAGAGGCCTGGGTTCTCCATTCTCTGCTCTCCCTCCCTCAGGTCTGGTTCAGTAACCGCCGCGCCCGTTGGCGCAAGCAGGCAGGAGCCAACCAGCTGGCAGCGTTCAACCACCTTCTGCCAGGAGGCTTCCCGCCCACTGGCATGCCCACGCTGCCCCCCTATCAGCTGCCAGACTCCACCTACCCCACCACCACCATCTCCCAAGGTGAGTGTCCAGCACCCCTTGTCCCTACCCTACCCAACCTTTCTTCTCTTCCTTTCTCTTGCAAGAGCTATTCTTTGTTATGACTCTTTGTGTACTTTATTGTGGGCAGACTACTGCAACAACAAAGAAAAGCCCTGCATCTTGCTCTTGAAGTTCTTGCTCTGCCCAGAGGCTGTAGGGTGTAGGGGGAGGGCCAACAGGCAGCCCCCGTGCACCGGTTTAGACCCAAGCTTTGCAAACCGTAAAGTAAACACAGATCTGGAATCTTATTTAAATGCCTGCCTGCTCCTCGCTGAGGCCCAGGCTGCTGGCCCAGGGGCAACACGTTGAGTGTCCAGGATCTGGAGTGTGGAGCAACTTTGGAGGGAAAGGATCAGAAGGTTCTTCAAGGGCCCGTGTGTAATCACAGTCTTGAGTTTTTACATGAGAGTGAAGTGGTTTCGTGTGTGTGTGTGTGTGTGTGTGTGTGTGTGTGTGTGTGTGTAGGTGCTGGGAGGCTATTGGGATGTTTTTTTGAGATCAAGTTAGCCTCCAATCTATGGCAAATAAGAATAACTTTGTAGGATCTCATTTTCTTGCCCCTCTATTGATGGAAAGAGCCATTTTCAGAGGTCAAGCCTCTTTGAAGGACTAGAGGAAACTTGCTCAGAAGAGTCCTTCCCTTAGGGAGGCAGGATCAACCCTTCTTTCCCCCTGCTGGCTGTGCTGAGCATGGTTAGGACCCTGAGACTGTCCTGGAGAGAAGGCGTCCCTTGGGCCCTGTTCTCAAAGAATAAGCTTGCACCTGGCCTTGGAAGGGGGTGGGCAGAGGCAGGATGGTGACAGGTGGGAAAAGAAAGGAAAGTGGTCCCAGGGGAGATGTTCTGTAGGGGAAAAGGGTTCCCTCCCACCCTTCTAGACCCTGCCCCATTGTCTCCCCACCTTGGCCTACACGGGGAACCCATTGCTTGCTCTCTGCCTCCGGACCTCACCTGCCCGGCCAAGAAGAGGCAGTGTCCCCCACCTGGGAGGCTCCGCAGAGAGGCCTGGACAGAACAGCACAGAATAGCACACAGCAGGTAAAAGCAGAAATGGCTCCAGTTGGGCCGTTCAAAGCCAGGACCACTATCTTCTCCTGTTGCTTCACCTGTGAAATGAGTCACATTCTTATTTCATGCCTGTGAACACCGTTTGGCAGTGGTCAGTGCTCACAGGACACCAGCAGGACTAGCCTGGGTGGATTGGCATTCTCGATGAGGAGTGGGGTTCAGGGCAGCTTACATTGATCAAACACCTACTGTGTGCTTAGCCCTGTGCAACAAGTTGCCCAGAGGATGTCCTGAATCTTGGCTGGGCATCAGCCAAGACCTGGGCAGTCCCTGGTGCTATCCAGAACCAGCTTGCCAAATCCCAAGTCACCTGAGAAAGTGGTCACCACCCCCCGAGGGACAGCAGAGGCGGTGCGCGGCTCTTTTCTGCCCTCACAGCCCCGGCCTCCGGGATGCAGCCACCACTCAGCATCTCTCGGTCTCTCCGCAGACGGGGGCAGCACCGTGCACCGGCCCCAGCCCCTCCCGCCATCCACCATGCATCAGGGTGGGTTGGCTGCGGCCGCTGCGGCTGCGGACACCAGCTCTGCCTACGGAGCCCGTCACAGCTTCTCCAGCTACTCCGACAGCTTCATGAATCCGGGGGCCCCTTCCAACCACATGAACCCCGTCAGCAACGGCCTGTCTCCTCAGGTAGGGCCCCACTCCCCTCCGCCCCACGCCTGTCACCTGATACCTGCTGGCTCATACTTCACTGGTCTCCACGAAGCCACTGGCTGGTGGTACCTGAGAGGGTGTAAGTGGAGGGCAGGACCCCTTTCATCTTCACTTGTCACTGTGACTTGGTGCGGGGTTGATCTACCTCCAGCTGACGCAGGTGGGGGAAAGGGTTCCTTTTTCTTGCCACCCGGAAACAAATGGGTTACTTTATGCACTCGCTCTCCGGCCAGCAGCGCCCCACTCATGTCCTGGAAGTCAGGCACATTCAGACAGTGCAATGGTGCAAGCTGCAGTGCCTGGAGTTTTGACTTCCTGGATTCCACCCTATGCTCCTTCTGATGAGGTTCTGGACCAGGAACTATACTCTGATTGGGTCTTGAGAACCAGTCTACTCACATGTGATTGGCTGCTGGTTAGGGCAGTCATTGCCTGGTGGTGCTGAAGTCCTAGGACCTTCTTTGGGTGAAGTCGGAAAGACAGTGCTGGGCTTGTGGTGGAGATTGGTGGATTTGTTGAATGGGATTCGATGATACCGGAAGTCCCAGTGAATTTGAGGAAGTCCTGGGCTTATTTTTACGGCTATAGCAGATGCCCAGATACCCATGGAGGAAGGAGTTAAAGCTGAGATTGGCTTTATTCTGTCTCCCGCCTGCTGAGACCCCCCACCCATGGCTGTGGGGAGAATATGGACGCAAGATGCAAACTGACCTGAACAGCTGTGGTGCAATGGAAGCGGTGCAGGCTTCGGGGTGGGTTTAAAGCCCAGCTGTGCTGCTCAAGGCATTCTTGGGCCAGTGTGCCTCCGGGAGCCTCAGTTTACCCCTTGGTAAGCAAAGGGACTATTACTGCCCTCCTACTCAGGACGTTGGCTGAGTTCAGCGTGCTAATGGATCAAAGCCCCACAGAGCCTGGCACAAAAATGGGCCAAGTAAATGTTAGTTGTCTTGCCCTACTATTGCTGGGATGATATAATGGACATAGAAAGCCTGTTAACTTAAGGGGGAAAAGGAGCCAGAGGAGGACCACAAGTAACACCCTGCAGTCCTCATCATCCAGCCTCCTGTTTGTATAAATAAAGTTTTATTGGAACATAGCCATGTCCATCCTCTTACGGCTGTGCTTTTCTAACAGCAGCGTTGAATAATTTCGAAAGAGACCATAGAGGCTACAAAGCCTGAAATACTTCCCATCTGGCCTGTACAGAAAAAAAATAATTGCTGACCTCTGATCCAAAACACTCCCAAGAACATTAGTTTTCTGCATGTCTGGGTTCTTTCCCATGCCTCTATTCATTTGCATAGTTGGGTGTGACAGCACTTACTTGTGGGGAAGGCCCAGAGCAGTTCCCTGCTCCTCTCCATGCCTTGATTTTCTCATCCATGAAATGAGGATAATTGAGGTTTGAATGAAAGATCTAGCTGCTTGAGGTGCTCAGCTGAGACCTGACACAGAGCTAGCGCCGGGGAAACTTGAGGAGGCACACACACAGCCCCTAGCGGTGATGCCACTGCCTGCTGAGCTTGTGAACCCCAGCACTGGGCCTTGCTGGCCTCCCCTGCTCTCCTGCTGGTATCCCAGATGCACAAAACCCTGCATCCAAAGCCTGCATCCAGAATGCTTCCCCACGAGAGACAATCGGCCACTTTCTGGGGCTCAAGGTCCTGACCTCTGCGTCATTAGCGCAAGGGCTAATTGTCCAGGCTGAACTTCCAGAGCTGGGATGGGAGCTAGATGTGATAAGATCCCAGGACCTGCTAGGGAAGGACCTTGCAGAGACCCGAATGGGCCCAGGCCTGGCCTTGTGGGACAAAGCAAGTTTGGAGGACCATTCTTGGAAAGCTGCAGAGGGATCTGGAGATTGCGTGCAGCAGCTTAGTAATGCCCATATGCACTGGCTGGGCCAGGGCTGAGAAGCCAGGCCTGAGTCCCTAACCCCTGGCCTCCCCAGCTCACTCTGTCTCATTGTCCTGCAGCAGGACTTTCATCACAGCAAATAAGGATCTCCTGAGTGGGGTTTGGGATGGAGTTATAGGCAAGGAGAGAGGGAGGAGGAGGAAAACACAACCCAGTCGTGTGAACGGTTACATTACAGGGGGCTTCTCACCTCTAGGTTTAAAGGTGTGGGAGTTACATGTTATTTTCACCCCTGCATGGAAATTCCTGCGTGGGATTCAGGTTCCCTCTGCCCAGTGAGAGACCAAAGCACAAAGCAGGAGGCCCTGGGAGGCTCAGGGCAGAAAGCTGAGGGTATGATGGATTGGGTGAGCCTCAGACTGCCCGGAGTTCCCACCAAAGGTGTGAAGACAGATGGAGGGTCTGACGGGGGCAGAGGGGACCAGGAGGGGAGCAGCTGCTGGGGGGAGGGGCCGTGTACGGGCAGAGGCAAGGGCAGCAGGCAGGCTGTGCGGCTGTGCGTGTGTGTGACCACTGATGCCTCGTGAAGGGAGGCGCAGAGAGGTGTGGGGGGAGTGTGGGGCCCAAGTTCCCAACATTTGAAAGCCCAACTTCGGGTTTGCACCCTTCTCTGTCTAAGCCCGAGGGCATCTCTGGGGCGCATCTCTGAGGTCTTGGGATGGGTGGGACCAGGATGTCCACTGTGTAGGGAGATGCTGTGGGGATGATTGGCCTCCAGTGACCCCAGCGCCCTGCAGGAGGGGTTTCTCTGAAGCTTACCTTATCAAGAGGGAGAATATGGGTCTCCACCTGTTACCCACAATTGCAGGTCCCACCTGTCGCCCCAATAGCTTTGATCCTCGGAACTAGGGGGTGTTTTGTTCTTACAGAAGCTGCTGGGGGATGAAGCTGGGGTTGCAGAGTTCCTGTTCAGACCTGGCACAGGCTGCCTCATTGCATGGGTGGCTGGCTGTGCCTGTGGGTGTCCCTCTTTCCGTGGGTTGATCTGGGTTCCTTGTCTCCAGCTGGCCTAGAACTGGAGCTCAGGGACTCCCTGGAGAGACCACCCAGCAGGACTTCACAGAAAAGCCCTTTGCTCAGTTCAGCTCAGCACCTGTGCCCGCTCGCCCCCCCAGCTGACAGTACATCAGGCAGACAGACAAGGAACAGAGTAACATCAAGTCACGTGGTGTGTTTAATATGACACTGACAAAGACAGAGACACTCTGGAGCCCCCATGGTGTTCAGATTCTGGTCCTGTTATTTCACATATTTTAATCCACCCAAAGGGCAGAGCCAGAATGCAAACCCAGGTCTCCAGAGCCTGTGATCTCAGCCACTCACTTTGTCCTCCTGCCTCTGAGAAATGCCCAGCCCTGCCACTAACTTCCAGCGTGGTGAAGGGAAGAGTTCATGCAACCCATGTTGTGGATGAGAAAACAGAGGCTGAGGAGCCCAGGAGGCGAATGGCACTGCTAAGTCAGATGTGCAGAAGCCTCCTTTGAGGCTTGGTTCCCTCGTAGCCTCCACCCACAAGCCCCCATGTTATAGAACCAAACACTGAGCACTCAGCATGTGATGTCTCTGGCTTCATGCGCTGGGTCCTTCTAAACAAGTGGAGGGAATAGGAGGGTGAAGCAGCAGGATCTCAAGTTTGAGCCCAGCCTGGACAACTCAGTGACTCAGTGAGACCCTGTCTCAAAAATTAAGGGGGAAGGGAAGGTTGTAGCTCAAAGCAAAACCCCAGAGTTTAATCCCCAATATTAGGGGGGGAAAAGAATAGGGAAAAGAACCAGGCCTATCCAAGGTTAGAACTCAAAGACCCAAGCCCACGCTCTCCCCTCTGCTCCAGGTGGAAGGTCAGTTCATTGGAAAATGACTCTTAAGAGACAACTCGGTATAATTTGAGACAGAAGATGCCTTTTATAACATGAGTACTTCACACAATGGCTTGCAGTACATACAGAGACAGAGAGAAAGATACTTGGTGTAAGGGAGAGACTCCAGCCTGTCCCTGGGAGCTTGTAGTCTGGAGGCAGAGGCAAACCTTGCCCTTAGGTGTCCTAGTCCGTGGTGGACACACAGGCATCTCCTGGAGATTTCATGTGATGGGGAGAGAGGTGTCAAAAAGTTCTTTGGAGATACAGGTTTTAGGGTCCTCAGGTCCCAAACAGAGACTGAGGGGCAAAGCTGTGCTACTTTGAGGGTCCTTTGGGCTGGAGGGTCCAGGCAGTGTGCCCTGGGCTGGGGCTTCTGCAGGGGCTGAATCCCGGGGTCAGGGTGGGCTCATCACTGAGCTTCCTCCGCTGCCAGCCTTTCCTAGACCCAGAGAGGACCCAGTTTTCTAAAATGTTCCCCAAGTCACACTGTTGGATTAAGGCTTGGGCTCCAGTCCCTGATCAAGAACTGCTGACACTGTGTCAGTTCTGTGCTGCCGCCATTGTTCCTGTGCCCCTCGTAATGTCCCTCGTTCACTGTCATCTCCTTTGTTCTTCTCTGGAGCTTACTATAAAGGACCCCAGAGAAAGGGTTTATGTATTTACAGTGGCCCCCGCCAGCCAGTGAACAACACTAAATGTGCGGTTAATCACGTGACCACAAGCCCAGCAAACCAGGCCTTCTTCCCTTCTCACTTCTTGATGTTATCCTCTCCCCTCCCTCCCGTATGGCGTGATTGCGGGGACAGTGGCTGGGGCTGCATTTCAGGGAGAGAGCATTGGCTTAGCACGCACGAGGCCTTGGTTCCATCAGCAGTGCCGCCAAAGTATGAAATAATGATGGTGACAGGCACTGAGGAACTGGGCACACAGAGGCAGGATGTGGAAGCAGGGGGTGATCTGGGACTCTCGTTTTATAGGGGAAGAAACTGCACTGTTCAGGGTCATCTGTCCACCTTTCCACCCACCCATCTACCGAATATTTATTGAGCTCTGTGCCGGGCCCCATGCTAGGCTCTGAGAAGTGACAGAGCTAGGCCTCAGAGTCCCACTCCACAGCCCGCCACACTCTTGTGCTGCGCCTGCCCCGAGAGGCTGGTCTGATGTGTTTAGGGACATAGAGGCCCAGTGCCACACTGGAAG